TGTTACTAAATTTAAGTATGAAACACACCCACAAAAAATTTTACATGTTTTTTAATTTATTTTATTACAGTTTCCTTTTGTAAAGCACAAGTGTCCCATCACTTTTGTGAGACACTGTAGGACTGCTATAATATTTAGATGTTCACCTCGTATTTTGATTGCAATCGGCCGCACCAAACGTATATAAATATATTTATAGTATATATATTCACTCTGTTACCCGGCTCAGTGGATCACAGTTTCTTTACTCGTATATGTTTGTAAATTGCGCATTTTTTGCTTTAAAAATGATTGAATTGTGTTGTTCTTATCTTTGGTTAATTTTTTTATGCCTTTACTTAACCTGCATGCAATAATTTTCGAATTACCAACAATTTAAAAGTTTTTTAAGTGCGGCTGAGCCTAATTTTTGTTTAACATGGCACTCATATTTGTTTACATTTGAAACTTAGCACAATAGTGGATTTGTTGCCAATTTAGAGAAACTAAGATTCGCAACAACAAAGTAATGTCTTCTTTTATTATTGCGAATTAAATTATGCTTAATTCATTCTGGAATTATCATTTAAGTTATTAGCTTGTTTTTGCGTAGAAATTGTTTTAATTGTAAAGATTGTTTTTTAATTGTTTTAACTGTACTGGTGTTTTAGGTTTTTCTATAACCACGAAGTGAGACCTGAATTAATTAGTAGCGTATGCACATTGGGTAAGCGGCGCTGAATCGTCTGTGAAAAACTGTTACTTTTTTATTTGTTTAATTTCTTTTATACATCGTTTATTATAGTATTTGAATACAACATGTGGTAATTCTTCAGATGATATAAATTTTTGTGCACTCCGAGTTATAAAACGAATGAGATGCAATGCTGTTAAGCGCCGAAGTGTCGCTATGGTAAATAAATATATTGAACTTTAAGGAGTGCATTTATTCTATTGTGGTTTATGCACTATCGACGAAGTAGATTTAATTCAATATGTTTAAATGAAATAAAATTGCGTATAATTTAATATTCCGTACAAGAAAAGCATGTAGTATAATTTTTTTTTTTTTTTTTTTTTTTTTTTTTTTTTTTTTTTTTTTTATGGCTAGGCCTACTATAACATCTAGTTGTGCACCTTCTATTTTGGTTGCAATCGGGTGCACCAAAAGTAGACTCATGTCCATAAATTAAGGATAATGCAAAGTCAGGCAAAGGAAGAGTTAGAAGCAAAACAAATTTGACTTATTTGTAAAGCTTATTTATTAAACAAAAGGTAAAGAGCAAAAAAAGATGCTATATGTTTGATATTATTAAAAAAATTAGCGATTATTTCTCCCTGGAGCAAATTACAAAAAACACCTATTTACAAAAAACCAATATTACATGGTTGGTTTGCTTGTTAATACATTGTATGTCTCTCAGACGATGCAATGCAGTCCGTACAACGCCTAGGCATGCTGAGTATCAAATTATCGATCTGATCTTAGGGGATATTACACCACTCAAAAAGCAATGCTGTCCGAATTTCCGGTAGACATGTAGGAGGAGGTTGACGGGCTGCAACTCGTCGGCCAAGCAGGTCCCACACGTGCTCTACTGGACTGAAGTCCGGTGAGAATGCTGGCCAGTCCATACGGGTGATATCCTCCGATTGAAGGCATTCGCTTACGATGTTTGCACGGTGAGGATGGGCGTTGTCATCCATAAACACAAATTGTGCGCCCTTGGCACCCCGAAAAAAACGTACATGTTGTTCCAGAATGATGTCTCGATAGATTTGGCTTGTTATGGTTCCAATTTGAGCATGCAGGTCAGTTCTGGAACCCAGAATAATTCCACCCCAAACGAGCACTCCTGCACCACTGCAACGGTGTCGTTCAATGATGTTTTCTTGGTGGTAACGGGTACCTGGAGCTCACCATATGAACGTCCGGCGAGAATCAGACTGCAAGCTAAACCTGGACTCGTCGGAAAACATCACACAAGCCCACTGTTGCGGTGTCCACAATGCATGCTCTCTACTCCAGGCTAACCGCAGGCGACAGTGAGTTGCAGTACGTGGAACGCATCTGACAGGTCTACGAGCATATAGACCAATCTGCCCTAAGCGTCTACACGGTCTGCCTTGAAATGTCGTACCAGTGGCTGAAGAGAGCTGACGAGACAGGTCTGACGCTGTGCTTCGCCTGTTTCTTTTGGCAGTAACTGCCAAATACCGGTCCTCATTCGGCGTTGTAACTCTGGGGCAAACTGTGCTGTAACGTCTCACATTACCATCATCTTGGAATCGTTGCCAAAGCCTGGAGATGACACTCTGGGCAATTCCAAGTTCGTCTGATACTTCCAGTTGGGTACGCCCACATTCCAGACGGCCGATAATTCTACCACGTAAAAAATCATCCAAATGCTTCCTCTGTGTCATAAATATTCGGTTATTGCACTGAAATGCTTATAAAGCGCCTGCGAACAATTTTACTTCTTTGCCTGTATCTTTATATATCACTCTCTTTCACTCTCGTCATTGTGACGTACCATCGGTGTCATCTGGTTACTTCCTGAAATTTGCATATTCTTGAAGTTGTGTGTAGTGATTTTACAGGTGATATATTTATTTTAGAGTTCGATTTCCGCGTGACTCCGAATTATCCTTAATTTATGGACATGAGTGTATATCCACGGTGTTACTCGGCTCAGTGAGCTTAGTTTTTTATTCGTATATGTTGTTAAATTGTGCATTTTTTGCTATAAAAATGATTGAATTATGTTATTCTTATCTTCCGGTTAAGGTTTCTATGCCTTTAGTTAATCTGCGTGCAAAAGTTTAGAATTATCAGTAATTTAAAAGTTGTTTAAGTGCGGCTAAGCCTAATTTCTTTTTAGCATAACAGCTATATTTGTTTACATTTGAAACTTAGCAGAATAGTGAATTAAGTCAGTTTCTGCACCTTCAGTGTCTTTTTGCCGAGTGGGACCAAACGGAAACTTTTAGTTTTGTTCACGGAAAAATCTGCCTTCTTGCCTGCTCGCCGAATTGCTTGTTTTTGCGTAAAAACTCTAATTTTAATTGTATTTTTTTTTTGTTGTTGTTGTTGTTTTAGCTGTATTTGGTGTTTTATTTTATTTCCTTATATTTTTCAATTTTTAATGAAGGTATTTTGAGGTTTTATGTGTTTTTGCCTTTTCCGCGAACTTAGAACAGAATTCATTGAATGAGAAACGTATGTGTAATGAAATTCGAGGGAATAAGTTTAAATGAAATGCAGCAAAAAAAATGAGTATAATTTAATATTTCGCATAAGGAAGTCATGTGGTATACACATCAGATTTTTTAAAATTAAAATACGCCGAACTTGTTTTGTCCTGGATGACAAGAAAAATCCGATCACGTTCGATTAACCACTTTTTGAGACCTAGAAATTCAAAATTTGTTTGCTACTTTTCTGTTAACAAGCTGGAAAGTCACCAAATGTGCGCTAAAGCCTGAAATGTGGTAGCCTGGTTATATCACATCATGAATAGATGTGCAATATTTCATGTGCGCAATGAAGAATTTGTGCAACACTCCGATGTTTAAAAACAAAAAACAAAAACAAAAAAACTGCACATTTCCAAATTTCGGCATTGCACACTTCAAATAGTATATAGATAGATGAAAATTATCTTCTCTGAAATGTTAGATTAGGTTATTGAATTACGGCAAAGCTTCGAGGGCTATCCACTTAAGGGAAGGGATGCCTTCGTGGAGGACATTCTAAGGGAAATTGGCGCGTATACAGGTTACACATGGGGAAAACCACGAAAACACCCATGCAGCCAGCCCGTTCGCGGGATTCGAACCTCGGACCGAACTACCAGTGCTCAGCGACTTTTGCCGCTCGGCCGCTGGTGGGCCCGGCTTGCTTTTGAAATAGCTGTAATGTACACGGCCACTTCGAATATTCCCACGATGTCCCTCATTTGAAAATAATACTTGATGGCTCTGTTGTTTTTGATATGAATAATATTACTTATTCTATACCTTAATATATTGATTTAATGGTTTTCGCAATAGTTTTTAGTTATGGAATAAGACCATTTCTGTTTTCAAAGAGAAAATTCATAGGCATTGATTCGAAACTTTACATGGGCCATTTTTAATAAAAGGATTTTAACTATGACAAACGATAATGTAGATTTAAAATGATATGTTTGTTAATTCAGAAGTCAAACAACAAAAATCAGCGTTATATTTACAAAATTTTCACAGGACTAGTTTCGATGGTTTTACCGAACCACCATCTTCAGCTGCAAAACCGCAAATGAACAAGATAGGAAATAATGATTAGATAAGATAAGAAAGCCTGGACAAGAATAAGCAAGTGGCGCCATCTTTTGATGAAACCAGAACTAAAACATAATTTCTTTACCAGAACTAAAACATAATTTCTTTAAAGGCCGAAGAAATTATGTTTTAGTTCCGGTTTCATCAAAAGATGGCGCCACTTGCTCATTCTGGTAAAACCTGAGGATGGTGGTTCGGTAAAACCATCGAAATTAGTCCTGTGAAAATTTTGAAAATGTAACGCTGATTTTTGTTGTTTGACTTCTGAATTAGTATTTATTCGGCGTGTTATTGTGTCTTAATGATATGTTGTTGCTAGTTAGTTCTTTTGAACATTTTAAAACTCTTTACAGTTTTCGCCAAAATGATTCTAAAAACCTGTAATCAATTTTTACGCCCATGAACCTCCCTATGAAATGTGAAGTGAAATTTAGAAAACAAATTTATACTATTGTGGCAATTATTAACTGGAATTTGTAACACTGGAATTGTTGATTAAAATGCGAACCTAAATCATAAAACCAGAGAATTATTATTGATTTCATTTCACATTTCATGAGAAATACTTTTCGGTACTTTTCCGTTTTGCGGGCGCAGGCGATCAAGTCGCCAATAATGGTACAACCAAGGCCAACTTATATAATAAATATAAGTTGGCCTTGGTATTTGTCTTTATTTTGTATGAAATTTGGACTTACCATTTGGTCAAAAACGGGAAGAAGAATTGTTGCTGTAGTCGTGTTCGTAACAATTTCTGTGAGCATAGCCGTCATGAAGCAAATTATAGCTACTACAGCTCCAGGTGACATAACAGCTAAAGAAGATAGCTGATTTCCTAATAGTTTTGAGAGCCCAGATTTCTGAAAAAGAAATTAATGTTAAAAATTTCGAAATTTATGTGTTTGTTTTAGAATTTAACTACAGAGAAATTTTAAATTGAAAAATGAATAATCGGTGTAAAAAAGCAAATACTGTCCTATGAAAAATGAAGCATTAACCTGTTAACTGGCTAGGATGACATTTTTAGTCGTGCCCTGAAGACTACCAGAATGCGAATGTCGACATTTTTCGTCATTGAAATTCATCGTATTATATTGAACACATTACTTTTATCTATAAGTATCTTGTAGTTCTTGTATATTTAATCCTAGCGTGGTTATATGGCATCATAGGTACTTTTCCGTTTCGCCGGCGCAAATCTCGCCAAGCAGACTTTATTGGCGACAACATACAGTATACACATAAAAAATATTAAAAAAATGTCAGTTCTAAGAATTCTTTTTTTGAAGGCATAAACATTTTAATATCGCTTAAAATTTTATAAAAAGCCAATAAATAAAGACAATAAATTTGTGAAAAGACATTAATTTAAGAATTTACTATGCTTTCATGGTTCAACATCCCGATTCGCCGGTTCAAATCACGTGACCCCAAGAGATCTCATCTCACGTAAACTACGCTACAAAAATCTAATGCTCTCAGTAATTATCTACATTAATTTCAAGTTAAATCTTAATTTGGAACACAAGTTTAAGCAAGATATTCCAATTCGTACGAATAGCTTACTCAGAAATTATGTAAAACTGCAGTGCTTTACTTCGCTAATGCATTCTCATTAGAATTGATGAATTTAACCCTTGACTTTACCTTTTCTATATTTTCGGCTTCGGGTAAGCGCTGTGATTGCATCCTAATTGACTTAATTACCGAAAATGGCCTTAGACATAAAACTGAACTATCTGATAAAAATTCTATGTAATTATATGCCAGTATTAAAAGAAACAATCAATCTGATAAGATAAAGCTGCCACTTGTTTTGAAAATGAGGCGTAAAAGGTTACCAGCGAGAATATTCCGTTTGGCATCGGTTGTACCATTATTGGCGACTTTATCGCTTGCGCTGGCAAAACGGAAAAGTACCCATCAGGGTAATTGTTGACGAGTTATGTGCATGTACACCTTGCACACACACACACACACACACACAAAAAAAAAAAAAAAAAAAAAAAAAAAAAAAAAAAAAAAAAAAAAAAAAGAGAAGGAGGATAAATAAATAAATAAAAAATCTTAAAGGTTTCAGATTTTAAATTACGTCCAAAGGGGCGTTTTTTTAACGTTTTGTGTGTTACATTTGTTTATTAAATATGTTCTTTGCACTTAAACCATAAAATTCAGTTCAATAGCAATGTCGCAAAATGAGCGTATGTTTAGAATTTCCGATACACACTTCCGCGCGCTGGAGATAAAAATATCCCGTCCGGGTAGAGCGCTGCCATTGCTCGCTTTGAAATCCTTGAGTTTGTTAATCAAAAATTCGTTAAAGTTTTACAAAATATGAAATCGATAATAAAACAAATTCTAAATTTAAAATTTGGTCTTGCACATGCCCATATTCACAGGAGGATCACGTTTTTCAAAATTCGATGGCTCTAGGTACCGTTGTTTTATCACAATGCGAGAAATATATATATGCAGTAAGACCCCGCTTAACGCTGTTTCGTTTAGCGCTGTTTCGGTTTAGCGCTCTTTTTTTTCAACCCGGGGATTCCACGAAATCGCTCGCAGCATACGGGGATTCCCGAAATATTATGCAGCGATAGGTTTCAAATACATATCCGAAAGAGTGTACTTGTATTTCTTGTTTGGTGCGGTATTGCACAGACATATTTTGAAGGGGTAAATGTGGAAGATGTCGAAGAAATAATTCAAGAAGCAGCGGCTAGTCTTTCTAATGATGAGCTCAAGGAATTAACCGAACAAGAAGAAAACAAAAATGTTGACAGCAGTGATTCAGAAGAAGAGCAAAAAGAACTTTCGATGGCGTTTGTAAAAAGGAGTTTGTCTACCATAACTGAAATAATGGATCAATTCATTGAAAATGATCCGAATTTTGACAGGAGCTCAAAAGTAAGGCGTGGTGTTAGAGATGCTCTATCCGTTTATGAAGAACTTTTAAGAGAACAACGCAAAAGAAAAAGGCAAACAACATTAGATGCTTTTGTCACAAAAAGGCAGAACACTGAAAACGCGGAAGGCTAACTAAATATGACTGACTGAGAATTTTATTTGTTTTTTTTTAAGAATATTCGTTTTGTTATTTATATTTTGTTTTTATTTTTGCAAGAAATAATAATGTGGTATTAATTTGGGCTTTAAGAAATAAATGTTTGGTTTTATTTTTATTAAAAAAAACATACTTTTAAATTTAATACCTAACCAATTTCCTAGCCATCTTCCCCTAACCCCAATATTTACATGTAAAGATAGCCTCGTTTAGCGCTGTTTCGCATTACGCTCTACTTTGATGGAACGTATCCCCCGCGTTAAGCGGGGTCTTATTGTACATTTATGCAGATTATTCATTATTTAATTTCTTCAAATATAATGCAGGACTCTAACATTGGGTGGCAACAGTTTTAAAAAGTGAAACGGACATTTATAGAGATTCAATGCAAAATCGCAAAACGAAAACAATAGTCCTTCAGGGACAATAAAATTAATATCATAATTTCAATAAATCATCAACTTCATGATTCAGAATTTTGGGAACATTGATATCAATAAAATAAAAAAAAAATTTGAAATTGCCTGGTAGCATAAGTGTTATTTTTAGACGGTCATTTTGAGCACGCTCAAATGTTAACTTTCAAATCACATACATAAAGTAAATGTTTAAAATGAAGTTTGTTTTTTTATCCAACATGTATAGCGTCTCTTGTAGAGGATAGTTCTCTGACCCCTTTTTAAGACCGAATTAAGACACTTAGAGACCCTAAGCGTTTAAAAGATTTTGGTGCTTTCATACACCCCCCCTCCAGTCTTTCTCTCTCGATCTTAGTTTGGCTGCACCATACATTCAGTGGTTAAACTGGCAATGTAAATTTTGTGATGTTGCCTCTCCTTCAGTCATTTAAGCACTTTTTTATGGTACCTCTTTTCTTGATGCCATAAGCGCGTGCTTAATTTGCTATATGGTTAATTCATCTCTGATCCTCTCAGAACAAAGAATCATAAAAAGACCATGCAGAATTTACGCCATGCCTTACTCGTATACGGGAGTAGCATATTTTAACAAATTGATTTAAATCTTGTTGCTCCTTTTCAAACATAGAGATGTATTATTCTGAATTAAAATTATTATTTTGCTAGATGCATTTATAATTTGTACCTGGTTTTGGAGAATACAGAAATCTGGGCCAGATATTTTTAGCTCATAAGGCCCAGAAGGGCTATTAATTTCGTTTTGGCATTTTGCGTCGATTCACTTTCTGCGTTGATTCATTTTTCAAGCTGTTGCCACCAACTATTACAGCCCTGTGTTATATTTAAAGAAATTAAATAATGAAGAATCTCCATAAATGTATGTATGTTTCTCGCATTGTGATAAAACAACGATACCTGGAGCCATCCAAATTTGAATAACGTAATCCTCCAGCGAATATGGGCATCTGGAAGCCCTAATTTGGAATTTGTTTTATTTATATGTTTCATATTTTAGACATTAAAGAATTCTTGATTAATAAACTCAAAGATTTTCAAAGCAGGGAATGGCAACACTGTACGAAGGGAAAAAAAAAAAAAAAAGTTTTTATCTCCAGCGCCCGAAACTGTGAATCGGAAATTGTAAAGATACGTTAATTTTAAAATTATTTTGCGATATTGCAGTTAAACTGAATTTTATGGTTTAAGGTGAAGAACATGATATTTTATAAATAAAGCTAAACACACAAAGCGTTAAAAACACGCACCTTTGGGCTTAAGATAAAATCTGAAAGCTTTCAGTTTTTTTTTTTTTTTTTTTTTTTTTTTAACTTACAGAGTTAAAATTGTTTATCAAAAGGAATGTAATAATTCAACCTTCTTTTAACTTGAGATCAAGAGGTTAAACCCAAGAAATTTGGCAGTTGTTTCATAAGTGATTTTTGGAAATGGAATGAGCTACACTTTGTTACTTTAAACTTTTAATATAACACTTCCTGCTGAGTAAAATCGAGTGCTTGAGGTTATTTTCTTTCTATTTTTCTTTCTTTCTTTCTTTCTTTTTTTCTTTTTTTTCTTTTGTTTACTACATAAGGTTAGCAAGTAACGGTAAAGATGACTTGAAATAGAGCATCATATGCAGCGGAAATTCTTTGTTAGGGTTTCGGAAGAGATGCAAGATCGAAAACAAGGAGAAAAAAATGTGATCGTCAAACTTCCTTGTATGCAAGTATCCTATTTGCATCCTACTACTACTACTTTCTTGTTGTTTAATCAAGGGTTTACCGCAACTAGATTAAGCATTTTTACCTGAGCTGCATCTGCCAAGGCAAAGCCACCCCCAATGAGCAATATGACACCCCACGGCAGTTTTGTTTGAGCTGTCTTCCATTCCAGAATGGGACGGCTGTTCCAATCTTTGGGATTCGACGGCACAAAGAACATCAGAAAGGCCACTCCAATCGCTGGAACAGAATCGCCAATTTTTCTGCGAAATGAGTACAAAAAAACGTGGTATAATAAAGAATTTTACAAGAAAATTATTACACTTATATTATATCTTAATAAATCAGAAACTGGCAGACGAAAGCGTGATGGTAGATTTTTGCTTAAGAACTCCTTTTAATCTGCAATAGTATAAGCAATTAGTGCAGCTGAAGTTTGTTTATTTATTTATTTTTGTACTGCTGAAATATTGTTGCGTGCGCACGGGTTCGTAATAGATTGGATACACACAGAACCGATGATAGTTAGAAAAATTTTATTTTATTCACAGAAACACTTCACAGTTTTGGAAATTTCCACAAAATTACACGCAGAGGTCATCACGGTTTAGTTTAGTTTAGTTTACGAGTGTGTTGCAACCTTCCTGGCCGATAATAATCGGCCGCGTTGTTAACGCAGCACACCCGACGCAGACAAACAAAAATACAGTTAAAAGATAAAAACAAAACATTAAAGTACAGATTACACAGATTAATACAGATTGTGTATCTTGAAAAATACACTCAAGATACACATATAAGATTGTGTATCTTGAACAATACAAAATAAGGAAAATAATAAGCATAATCGGTTAGGGGAAAAAAAAAAAAAAAAAAAAAGACGACACATAACTCACTCACCCAACACACAAATTTGTAAACAAAAGAAAAACTAAAATATTTAATGTCCTATTCCTATGATAGTCTTGTTTTCATTCACAAACCTCATATTTTCTGTTGCATAGCTATTCAAGAATTTTCTATTTTCAACTATGCTGTTAATTTATTTTTCCAAATCTCGTCCTCACACTCTCGATCAGTTGCATTCTTCCACAAAATGAATTGCATTTCCGTACTTCCCACAAGCCAAGCATTGATCATTGCCCTGGAGAGTAAAAAAGTTTTAAATAGGCTGGGAATCTACCATGATCCGTGATAACTTCAATAGTATCTCTATTATTAAATAGATTCATTTTTACTTCCTTATACGAAGTAAAAAGGAAGTATTGTAATCGCGAAAAGTTTCAAGCAGCATATTTCAACGAAAATATTCATTTTGACCGCTTTCGAATGCAATTTAACGATGTTTTTGCGTGATATCTGTACGTAAGGAAAGAATAAAAGACTCTTTTCCTCCAAAAAAATTACAAAACTGCTTTAAAATGAATTCTGAAGAGAATTTTTCGTGGCGTCTGTACGAACGTATGTACGTACGTATCTCGCATGACTCAAAAACGAGTAGCCTCAGAACGTTGAAATTTTGTATATAGGACTGCTATAACATGTAGATGTGCACCTCGTATTTTGGTTGCAATCGGCCGCACCAAACCTTTATAAATATATTTATATATATATATATATACACTCTGTTACCCGGCTCAGTGATTTCAGATTCCTTACTCTTATATGTTTGTAAATTGTGCATTTTTTGCTTTAGAAATGATTGAATTATGTTGTTCTTATCTTCTGGTTAAGGTTTTTATGCCTTTAGGAAATCTGCAAGCAATATTTGTAGAATTCTCAACAATTTAAATGCTGTTTAAGTGCGGTTAAGCCTAAATTTTAAATAACATGGCGGACATGTTTGTTTACATTTGAAATAGCAGAATAGTAGATTTGTTGCCAATCTAGAGAGACTAAGCTTCGCAACAACAAAGTTCTTCATTTATTATTGCGAATTAAATCATGCTTAATTCTTTCTGTAATTTTTTCGAGGAAATAAGTGTTTATGATTTACTTCGTAATTTTTAATATAGATATTTAGGGTTTTTATGTATTTTGCCTTGTCGCGAAGTGAGAACTTAATTAATTGAATGTGAAATGCTGAATCCTCTGTGAAAAACTGTTTCTTTTCTGTTTTGTTTGCTTAATTTCTTTTATACATTGTTGTAGGTTTATTATAGTATTTGAATAGAACATGTGGCAACAATTCGATAATTCTTCAAATGATATAAATTTTGTGCATTCTGAGTTATAATATGAATGTAATATAACGCTGTTAAGTGAACCTAGCGCCAGAGTGTCGTTATGGTTAACAAATAGTGTGAATTTTAAAGAATGCATTTATTCTGTTGTGGTTAATGCGCTGTCGGCGAAGTAGATTTAATTCAATCCAATAAGTTTAAACGAAATGCAAGAAAAAATGCGTATAATTTAATATTCCGTACAAGGAAGTCATGTGGTGTACACATCAGATTTTTCTTTTTATAGTAAAAATTTTCCCGCAACTCTTATTTTTATTTGAACCAGTCCATTCCCGAGCCCATTTCTCAATTATACTTGCTTTCATTTTCCTCAAGATAATTCTGGAATCATATAGTGTGTAGATTTTTCTACTATATATAGATTTTTCCACTATAGCATTCCATTGTTTCGCTAATTCTGTAATGCATTTTTCTAAAAAGGCTTTTCTATAGTCAAGCCTTTTTCTCTTTGAAAGGGGGGGGATATGCAAGATAAAAGATATGTGAATCAAAATTATAATTTAAAATAAAGGTGAACTCTTTAATTCTTCCTCTCGGTTCTAAAAATCGTAATAACTTCTCAGGATTGCGTCATTTCTAGATATTCGATTTTGCATATCCTGCGCAGCGCTGATGACGTAATAATTGGAAACTGAAACTTTTTAACTCAAACCCAAACCTTTCTTTTTTTGTGCCTCCATCTTGCGTAACTACACACTTCAGCTTCTGTCTCTGCTGTGCTTGGACGCAGTTTCGCTATCCTGCTTCCTGTTGCAATAATATCAAAAATATATAAATGTTTTTGAATAGGCAAAACTCGAGTGTCAAATGAACTGTGGCCACAAATATCAGTTGCAAATAAAAATGGAATTAAAACTGCCTCAACTGCCGAGTTTTTTAGATACTACGAAGTTAACACATTAGCTTACTACGCAATCAGAAGTCTTCCTCTTCAGTATGGTTCTACTCTATATAACTATTACGCATCAACACTGCTCCCGTCTTTTCCTTGCTATTATTATATATATATATATATAAAATTCGTAATGACATGAATTTATGAACTGACATTATTTTTAAATTACAGAAGTTATGTAAAGAGATTTCGAAAACAGCAATTTTTAAAATTTTAACTGACCGGTTTTGTTTTAAACTCTGAGATGAGATATAGTTTTGTCATGGCAAAAGTAATTACTAGTAGTATCGCTAATTAATTTAATAGTCGTAACTAGTTGAGTTTAGTTAGCCATACTTTCGAGTAAATTCTACAGCTTATTTTCCTAAACTCCTACTTTTCTTCTACTACCTACAAGCTTCAGGAAAATCTGTAAATGTTGTTCACTTTTGTTTTAACTCTTTCGCCGTCCTCTCCTGTCCGCGAAAATCCCCCCTCCCCAGCGGCCGTCTGTTTTTCGTAGCGTGTAATGTTGTTTCCTCTGTACATCTTAACTTTCCATACATGACTTTCGTAGTGGATGAATGTCAATGAATATTAAGTAAAATTATGAGGAAATAAAGCATAATGGAAACATAATAATATCTCTGCTTGTTTCTAACAGCAGGATAATTTGATAACATCTGATCCAGGCGGTCCACTCCTCCCATTTTGCTGTTGTAATCTTTTACAATTATTGGTTTTTTTTTAAAGTTCTTTTCCGTGTTCCAACATCCATCATCGAGTTATTATGGACTGTACTCATCAAAAGTATATCCTTCTTGTCTTTCCAATACATAACCTCATTTTTTTCTCTTTTTCTGATGAGTAGACGTTGAAGCCATCTCTCATTGTCTTGTATCTTATACAAAATGGAGCGAATATTCATAAAACCCGGGGCGGCGCGAATTCAATTAGAAATAGAATGCCTGATTAGTGCTACCGTCTAGGAGGCATTAGAACAGACAAAAATAAAAACTCAAAGAAGTAAACATTTAGAAAGCGTTTTAAACGTTTAAAAGTTTTAAAATGTAGAAGAACGCTTGAGGCGCGTTACGGCCGCCCTGCGAAAGTTTAATTTGAACGCGCTAGACGCGTTACGGACGATGAAGAGGTTAATATACACTGGTGAAATAAATTAAGAGAATTTACATACTTGATCTGCGATCTCCAGAACTACTGGACAGATTTTAATAAAATGTGGTGCGAACATAGGTTGATATAATACAAACAAAATAAACATTCGACGGTTATAATACACACACATGTTCGAGTGTAATACTCATGGGAGTCTGAAGGTCTGAAACAGCGGTTCCAGAAGACACAAAAAGAAATGGGTTAATAGGGGGTATGATGCCCTCTTACAGCCATACAAGCCTCGCAGCGTGATGTCATACTGGAAAAAAGGCAGTTTATCAGTGCCTGTGGCAACTGGTCCCACTCATTCAGCAACGCTGTTTTCAGTTCCTGGATGGTTCTGGGAGGGGGGTTGCGAGTTGCGATTGCCCTCACCAGAGTGTACCAAACATGCTCTATAGGGTTGAGGTCTTCAGACCTGGTTGGCCAATCCATCCGGTGAATATCCTCACTCTCGAGAAATTCGTCGACCAGAAGAGCTCGATGTGGCCTCGTGTTATCGTCTTGTAAGATGAACTCGGGGCCCACTGCCCCCCCGGAAAAAGCGATCATAGGGCTCCAATACCTCATCCCTATTCCTCACACCAGTCACAGAGCCTTTGTCAAAGATGTGGAGAGGTGTGCGGCCATCCAACATGATGCTTTCCCAGACCATTACACCGTCACCGCCATAATTGTTGATTTCGCTGACATTGGAGGGTAGGTAGCGGGTCCCTGGCTCTCTCCATATGAAAGTACAGCGAGAATCGGTGTTTAGGCTAAAACGGGACTCGTCGGTGAACAGAAAGGTCGCCCATTGCTCCATACTGCAATCTCTATGCTGCCTGCACCATGCTAAGCGGACTCTCCTGTCCGTAGACATAAGCGGGACGCAAACAGCCGGTCTTCTGGTAAACAACCCTCTCTCATTCAGTCTTTTGGAAACAGTCACCCTCGTTACACGGGCTCCTGTGCTGCGTACATTTCCCGAGAGAGCTGAGAAATATAGAGTACCCGTGAGAGCTAAAATGGACAAATAGCGATATTCTCTGGCCGTCGTGACTCTTGACGACATTGCCCAGGCTTTCTCTCAATGGATTACAGTATCCTGGAACTGCTTCCATATGCTACACACGACACTGGGCGTTAAATTAAACTTTCTACATATCTAGACTTGCGATTGGACTACCTTTAGCCTCCTCACAACTCGCCACCTCATGCCATCATCTAAACATTGGTGGTTACTCATTCTTATTTTTCCGATGTGAATTTAACCGATTGCTTCAAGATAACACCAAGAAATTCGCCGAGGTGTGCTAGCGAACCAATTGGTCTTACCCTCCACGCGGTTATAAAACCTGTTTTCCTGCTGGCTCCGCCTACACACACGTGTACGCTTACGTATTTGCCGTACAAGATATGCATTTTTACCTAAAAGCAGTGGTTTTTCCCAGTGGCGTAGCTAGGGTGGGGCAAGGGGGGACATCTGTCCCCGGGCGCAGCATCCAAGGGGCGCCAAATTGATGCTACGAATTTTTTTAATGAAATATTTTCCATTTTTGGCACACAGATAGGGCCGCAAATTCTTCAGTTGTCCCCGGGCGCTGGAAACTCTAGCTACGCCCCTGGTTTTTCCTTCAGTTCAGTTCTTTTCATGCAATTCGATAAAATATGCAAATTCTTTTAATTTATTTCACCAGTGTATGATTTTCATATCTCAACAAGTTCCATCCGTGCTTCTATTTATATTCTAAGTCGATAAATCTGGAATTTGAATGCCCATGCATTTTTTTTTTTTTTTTTCTCTTCCTTCTTCGCGGAAGAACAAACTATCTAGAGAGTTTCTGTTGATTATCATTTTTGCAGTCGTAAATTCGGTATTTCTTCTCGTTATACGTATTGTACCAAGAGCACACAACAGATTGTCGCTTTTTCCGTCACAGAGGATTTTTTTTAAATTATTTTAATTGTATTCGGTGTTTTATACTTTTCTATACTTTTAAATTTTAAATAAAGATATTTTGAGGTTTTGTGTGTTTTTGCCTTGTGGCGAAGTGAGAACTGAATTACCGTATTTGCCGGCGTATAAGACGCAACTCCTTATATATATATATATATATATATATATTTTTTTTTTTTTTGAAGGATAAAACTTTATTACTGATCATTTTAATTCCGTCAAGTTCTTATGATTTTCTCAGGTAGGGGAGCCTCTCTGCAGTTCCTGTTTCCATGCTCAGCTCTCTGTTTTCATGTTCTTTAGCATATGCAATAACACGTAGCTTGTATGCTATGTCATATAGCAATGCCGACTTTGGTTTTGAGACATAACTTGTCAACAAATTTAAGAAAACTGAACAATAGAAAGTTCACACGCTTAAAAGTCGTTCACAAAAATTAAGAAACTTAAACGAACCTAGCTGTGATCGTCGATGACAGCCCGTGCGCATTCACTGAGCTCTACGTGACTGTAATATTCCCACATTCTGCAAGGAAACAGGGAAAAAAATCGCATAACTCTAAATAGAGGAAATTTCCAGAAATGAATATAATCAAAAACCGAGTATCGGCGTGTAAGACACATCTCATTTTTTAGACCTATTTTCAAAGAAAAAAACTGCGTCTTATACGCCAGCAAATACGGTAATTGAATGAGAAATGTATCACTAATGAAATTCGAGGAAATGAGTTTAAATGAAATGCAGGAAAAATGCGTATAATTTAATACTCTGTACAAGGAAGTCATGTGGTGTACACATCAAATTTTTTGTATTTACTGAGCTAGTAGCAATATTTCATTTTAATTTGATTAGCAGATTAATGTTTTAAATTTTTATCAGATAGTTCTCCCGCCTTCTTGGCATGCCTTCGTGGTGTGGTGGTCTGCACGCTGGGCGCGTATTCAGAGGTCCGCGGTTCGATTCCAGGCGAATACGTTGCTTACTTTTCTCTTATTCCTGTTTCCAAAAAATACCTAATGTCTGTACAGTGGCGCTCGAACTAAAAGGGTGGTAGGTGATGATTCTCCACAAACGGGATTTGGCGATTGTGTCCCCCTAAAACCTCGGTCGCCCTTTAAAAGGAGGGGTATATAAGGTTTTTCTCCCGCCTTCTTGGCGTGCCTTCGTGGTGTGGTGGTCTGCACACTGGGCGCGTATTCAGAGGTCCGCGTTTCGATTCCCGGCGAAGGCGTTGCTCATTTTCACTTCTTCCTGTTTCAAAAAAAAAAAAATACCTAATGTCTCTACAGTTTATTGAACTCGAAGCTTCTGCAAGTATACCTCACTTATCTACCAATTATTACCTGCCCTTTTATGATTTGTAAGTTAAGTTTTTTTACCTATAAAACTTTTGCCTTTCTGCTTTAAAATCATAATTTGAATTAAAAATCATTTGAATTGATTAATTCTCTGTTAGTTTCTACAGCAGTTAATCTGTGGGAAAATAAAAATGTGTCAGTGTAAGTAAAAGCCTTACGTGTCTGATCCCACTGCTTCGGCCCATCCTGTAATGAACTTTGGATCTCGGAATATCCATAAGCCAACCAAGATAAGGAAAAGAATCACGACTTCCATTTCATGGTATCTGAAATACATAAATAATATAATAAGAATTAATATACCTATACAGAAATTCGGTAAAATCTGTCTATCTTAAGTAAAGATCTCGCCAGTTAGTCTGCAACTGTCTGTTGCCGTAGAAACGAGCCTTGACCTATTTTCGGTAGGGGTGTCTTGAAGACGAATAATGACTACTTTTCCCCTCAGCCAACAGTCGCCCAAAACAAAATAACAATAAAGCAACCCTTGGTTCTTCCTTATTTGAAATATACTAGGCCTGTTGCTATAGCGACCGCCACCCGCCAGACACTATGGCGAGAGCTCTTCTTCTCGTAAACAGACAGTAGTGCTCATCTGTTTTGTCAGTTAGGTTGCTTGTAGTAAAAGTTATTACATCTTCAACTAGTAATAGCTGACTAGCACTAAACACTGCCAGAAACAATTACTGACCTTAGATGACGGAGGACGGGGACGCCTGGCGTCTAACAGAGGTAAACAGGCATATGTCCCACGCCCTCCCCTATCCAGACGCAACAACTCCCTGGGGCCCCATAAGGGCGCACCGGGAGTTTATTGATACAGGTGACAGCAGGACAGGGCACCCGGACGGCTTTCTATGACTAAATATTGTTTCGGCAGAAGCCATCTGCTGTTTGCAAAACTCAACCAAGAGTGAGGCCAGGCCCACCAGCGGCCGAGCGGTAAAGACGCTGAACACTGGTAGTTTGGTCCGAGGTTCGAATCTCGCGAACGGGCTGGCTGCATGGGTGTTTTCGTGGTTTTCCCCATATGTAACGTATAGACGAGCCAGTTTCCCTTAGAAAGTTCTCCACGAAGGCATCCCTCCCTTAAGGTAGATAGCCCTCGTGTGCTTTGCCATAATTGAATAATCCAATCCAATCCAACGAAGAGTGAGGCCAGCAGTCAGATAATTTAGCTTAACCCTTAAAGTTTACCTTTCAGAGTCTCATATTGTTTACAAGTTTATAAAGTAATCCATTAAGTTTACAAGGTAATCCATTAAGTTTACCAAGTTATCCATTAAGTTTACAAAGTAATCCATTAAGTTTACAAGGTAATCCATTAAGTTTACCAAGTAATCAATTAAGTTTACAAAGTAATCCATTAAGTTTACAAAGTAATCCATTACGTTTACCAAGTAATCCATTAAGTTTACAAAGTAGTCCATTAGGGTTAAGTTTATAAAGCAATCTATTGACTTCACAAAAATTACATTAAATCCATTAAGTTTACAAAGTAATGCTTCGACTGGTACAAGAATTATTAAAGTGGAAAAAAGAAAATCATTTCAAAAATGAAACAGATTAAAGTTTATGGTCTTTTTGGTGGAAGTAGTCCTGAAGGTGGCTACTGCTTGAAACTGTTTTGTGAAGTTTTTGTACAAAGTCTCTAGAACATTTATTTCGCAGGGATGCAAATTACGATCTGACATAGAGATAGGATCAATACACTCGTATAAAAAGCAGAAAAACAGCTTCAACAATATTCACTAAATACTAAATAAAGTTACCAATACAAATGTCCTAAAGGAAAATACTTTAGATAAACATATGCAACAATAATTTCCTAATTGATATTAATATCAATTACGTTATCCATTCGAAACACTTTAATATATAGCAAGTAAGATTGCAAAAACTTAACTAAGTAAAATTTTTTACGCAATCAAGGAAACAGTTTTATGACGAGTTTATTTTTGGACAAGTTTATTTTGGGAATGCTAATTTAAAAAGCAAAATATAAAGATCCATGTGAAACTTACGACATTGAGCCCAGCTTGGCATATCGTTTTGAAATAATGGCTTTGATGGCTTCTTTCGACACCAAGTTGTGATTAACATTTCTAGGGGGGAAGAAAAAGAATGGAAAAATAAATAAGTGTACTTTGCTAGAATAATCTAATTTATAATATGCTATGAAACCACACTTTCACTACGAGCAAAAAAGAAAATGACACTCGATAATATTGTAACTAAAAATTGTCTTTCTAGAATCGCAAGCAAACAATCCAGGTACTGCCTACTAAGTAAATTGATTGTTTCATTTGCAGTTTATATTAAAATATAAAAATAAATTTCTTTTCCACAGCTTGTAGGGTTTTATTTATTTTTTAAGAATACTTATTTTAATTATTGAGACTTTTATGATTTCTCTTATTCCCTTCGCTAGGATGTAAATAAGTTAGGGTGAACGAGAGTATTTAAACTTTTGGAATAAGAAGGTTAGGCAGAGCGTGATTTCGCTATTCTGAGCGCACGTTGCTATATTCTTTGACCTGTTAACCTTAATATCGGATATTCATTCTTACCGTTTAGTTATTATTCTGCCGGTGTACGGTTTTGAACCTGTTAGCTTCCACTGAATTGTATACAATTGCACCGCTTTAGCACGTCGTTTAGAACGTATTTTCTAGTACATGTTGAGAACGTTTCGAAAAGTACCAGTATTGTACGTTGAAATTGTACGTCCTAAGAACACGGTTATAATATGCACCGCTTTAGCACATAGTTTAGAACGTTTTTCACAGTACATGTTGAGAACGTTTCGAAATGTACCAGGATTGTACATTTTAAGAACACGCTTTAGCACGTCGTTTAGAACGTATTTTCTAGTACATGTTGAGAACGTTTCGAAAAGTACCAGTATTGTACGTTGAAATGTACGTACTAAATACACGGTTGTTACACGCACCACTTTAGCACGTTATGTCGAACATATTTTATAACACAATCTGGGAACGTTTTAAAAAAAGATTGTTGTACGTCGAAATGTACGTATTAAATACACGGTTGTTACACGCACCACATTAGCACGTTATGTAGAACGTATTTTATAACACAATCAGGGAACGTTTAAAAAAACGATTGTTGTACGTCGAAATGTACCTACTAAATATACGGTTGTTTCACGCACCACTTTAGCACGTTATGTAGAACGTTCTAAATACATCTAACACCGTTATAGAACGGTATGACACGGTCTCTGAACGTTTTCAGAACGTTCCAGTGCTGCTTGGGTATAGTCTAGCATTGTTCTTTGCTTTTCAATTTAGTGTTACATTATCTTTCCAGTTCTCACCGCAGGTGGTCGGTGTTCGTAAGCACATAAGTCCGTGCCGTCTGTAAATTATATTGCTTTCAATAAAAGCATCTTTTACACCTTTTCCCTGGTTGTCTTCATCTTCAAGCTTGTGCAAGAATTCGCAAAGATCAACACTTAGGTAGATCTAGTCACGTTTTACGAACTAGATCTTATAATCTTAGTTTCTCAGTAATGCTTGTATCAAGTGTACACTAATGCTAATAACGTTTAATAACGTCTTTCTGCAAATTTTACAGTAAGTATCTATAGTTTAGTTAAAAAACACCTTGCACAAAAAAATGGCACAGTTCTATATCTTCCGTTTTACTGGACCGACTGTCGAAATTTAACTTGCGCTTTCGATGTCTCGAAAGCGCGACTTAGGATATGTATTAGATTTATATGTAGCATTGTTCTGATTATTTTGATAACAATATCGTACTTTTTCTGAAATAACCTAAAAATATTTTTCCATATTTCGATTCTACTACTCAAATTATGCCAAAGTGCAAAGTTTTGTTAAGTTTTTTAAAAAAATAGCTCCCAAAGTTTTAGCCCCTCCATGTTAATTGAATTTGGTATGTATTTATTATCTCTTTTTTTTTATTAAACTTATTTGATTCTTCCTTTCACATTTCGAAATTTTGCTTCATTCCAAATAAAATTCGCCCAATTTTTACGATTTATTTTTAAAATTTGTATTTCAAAATAAATTTTATAAATGGTTTGGAAAACAATTTTGAATTACAACCTATAAAAGTTTTACCAATATCTTAAAGTAGATGTATTTCTAAGCATACTTGCAAAAAATGAAAGTTTTTTAATTCAAAATTTCCTAATATATATGTGAAGTTACATATTGGCGAGTTTTGAAATTTGCCGTATTTGTTTATAAGTGATAATAATGCCAAATGTGGTTTACGCTTTTTGTTAAAATTATTTGAAAGTAGAAACGATGACCTTTTTTTTCAGGTCATGTACAATAAAAAAAAAGGAAAGGAAAATAGGATGCTATAAATTAAGAGTTTCACCAAGTGAATTATTCTTGGCGCAAACTGAAAAAAATGCGCCAAGATAAATTTTAAAATTTTCCATAAATTTCTGACCAAAAACGACAAACTTTAATATCTAGGCATAATTTGAGTCGTAGAATTGAAATGTAAAAAAAAAAAAAAAAAAAAAAAAAAAAATGGTATTTTATTTCAGAAAAAGTCCGATTTTGTGTCAAGATATCTATGTTTGAACAATGCTGTGTCTAAATCTAATATATATTCTAAGTCGGTCTTTCGAGACATGGAACATGAAAAAATTTCGAAAATCGGTCCAGTAGAACGGGAGATATAGAACTGTCCCATTTTTTGTGCAAGGTATACATGCAGTTTAGAATTTTTGAATTATAAGGTATTTCTTCTTGGCATACCTTCGTGGTGTAGTTGTCCGCACGCTGGGCGCGTATTCCGTGGTTCGATTCCCTACAAGAGCGTTGCTCATTTTTCATCACTCCTGCTTTAAAAATACCTAATGTCTCTACAGTATATCATCAAATTCGTAATAGTACTAATAGTATTATGTTTCTAAACGAGTAGTTGCCCCAGATGGAATTTTCTGCTTGCTGTGTGCCAGCAGTCAAACAAATATTTTTGAGGTTTCAAGTATGAAACAACGTATGTCATTAGCAAAAAAGGTCAAACGTTATGTGATAATTAATTTTATTACGTTATTAAAGGGATCACCATGTATTTATACAGTATGAATCTTTTATAGTTCGGTTTCAGTATACTCTTTACAACTATAAGATTAATTATTAACTATAATTATAATATAAAGAATTATAATATAGAGAGATTATAATATATTCTACGTACGAGCATCGAATGTACACCAACCATAGATAAAACCATCCAGTCAGAACACACAGAACCATTCCAGGAACATTGTACATCATCCAAGTTGCAAAAGTGATTTCTTCACTTTCAGGATGCAACCTATGAAGAAGAAAAAATGAAACGATTACTTTAGTCACTCAGTTTTATCTTTTTTATCTCAATTTCTTCCCGTGGTTAAGAAGTCAATCATTTTCTAATGGAAACACTTTATCGAACTTTATTATCATTTGAACTAGTATGTATCTAAAATAGGTGGACATTTTAAGTCCATTTAGTTTCATAGAAATTTGGGAAGTTCTAGCCATTTACCATTTATACAGTCAACAGTTCTTTTCAGAGAATCTACAGTTGCCGCATAAAGTAAGAATTATACACATAGAACACATTTCTATTTTTCTGTTCAACTCTAGTGAAAGATTTTTGATCCTGATTTGAAAGAACAGGACCAGGTGAGATCCTCTTTCAATTTAGCTTCTTTTACAATATCTTGATCTTCGAGGATGAAGGTAAGTGACCAAAAAATGGGGCAATCTGTTTTATCACAGGATCCCATTTAGGCAGCTGCTACGTCAATAATTCCCAGCTTTAACACTAATAACTTTTGGGGTAGGCTTTTAATCGTTATGAGATCGAAGAAATAAACAAAAAAGAGAATATCTGAACGAAACGGTGTCCGCCGATAACATCGCGGCAAAAACATCGCGGAAGAAAACGTCGCGGAGAAAACAACGCAAGGCGAAAACGTCGTGCTACAAAACATCGTGGGAGAAAACATCGCAAAGAGAAAACATCGCAGTTCTAAAACATCGTGGTACAAAACATCGTCGTCGAAAATAAAGCGGTTCAAAAACTTCGCAGTTTAAAATTATCGTCGTCGAAAATATCGTGGTAAAAAATAAAGTCTCTACAAATCATCGCATGACGATAACTTCGCAGACATGCTTTTTTCAGGTTTTAATTATTGTAAATGGATATTCCCATAATGATTTGTGAGCGCAGTATGTAAAGAAGGATAATTTTTATTTTCACATATTTTATTAACTAATAAATATTTGCGGAAAAGTAAGAATGAAACTTAAGCATAAAAAATTAAATGCAAATTATAGATTATACTTTTCATGAAAAATTACCAGTAAAAACTTTATAAAAATGATTTATTAATGGCCTTTGTTAGTTAACTATGTCGGTTTAAAATTCTATTAAGTGCTATAAGTCGCATTAATTTTCTATGCTTAAGTTTCATTCTTATTTTCTCAGCAAAAATTTATTAGTTAATAAAAAGTATGAAAGTAAAAATTATCCTTCTTTCCATCTTGCGATCACAAAATCAATTTGGGAATATCCATTTACAGTTATTAAAGCCTGAAAGAAGCATGTCTGCGATGTTATCGTCATGCGATGAGTTGTAGATACTTTATTTTTTACCACGATATTTTCGACGACGATGTTTTTAAACTGCGAAGTTTTTGAACCGCTTTATTTTCGACGACGATGTTTTGTACCACGATGTTTTGTACCACGATGTTTTAGAACTGCGATATTTTCTCGTTGCGATGTTTTCTCCCACGATGTTTTGTAGCACGACGTTTTTGCCTTGCGTTGTCTCCGCGACGTTTTCGTCCGCGATGTTTTTGCCGCGATGTTTTCGGCTGTAACCGAACGAAACGAGATGCGGTGGTTGCTAACATTACATTTTGGCGATTATGTTGGTGACTAAACGAAGTTAGCTTACATGCACTTCAGTCCAACAGAAACGTTATACCATCAAGCTACAAATCATCATATGTACAGAAGTAGATCTTTATTTATGGTACCGCCTTGGCGATTCGTGCTTTTTTCATTCAAATTCATATGCAGTCCTAGTTTTAAATGTTATGTGACCATGGGATCCAGCCAAATATTGATACGAAGGTGAGACAATACGGAAACAAAGACTTCTCTATGCTCATTTACAGTGAACAGATCATCCAGTTCATTAAGTTTGTTAGTAATGTGAAGAGTGTGCAAGTGGTAGATCAGAACTCTGCTCGTAATTTCTAAGTTCCTGAAGAGTACCATGTACCTAGTTTTATGTGGATTACACGTTTCGGCAACCACCTGGCGGCTCTACGCAGCCGGTCCTACCTTAGAACCAGGACATGGGATTCAACCCCTTCCCTTGCGCCTTGCAGAGGATTGATACCAGCGAATATGAATGATACAAATTAATGGTGAGATTATAAGGTATATCTCCCGCTTTCCTAGCGTGCCTTCGTGGTGTATTAGTCCTGCACGCTGGGCCGGTATTATCAGAGGTCCGTGGTTCGATTCCCGGCGAAGGCGGTTGCTAATTTTTCATTTTGCCTGCTTTCAACAAAATACCTAATGTCTGTACAACCTAACTTGTATTTTATGCTTTTTGTTTATGTTTTGAATAAAGTTATTCGCAGAACATATATTTATATTACGGAAAGTGCATCTGAGAAAAAAATTAAAAATGCGTTGTTTAATGAATGTGATAATGACACAGTCGACTGTTTTCAAGGATACATTATTGATAAATATATATTGTTGACATATTTGAAAGGAATACAATGTCCAAAATGTAATCGTCTAAATATTTATGAAAGCAAAAATATATTAATAATCAGTTTTTTGAACAAGACATTAAAGTTTTGTCGACACACATATCTTGAATATTATCAAAAAACACTGTCACTGTTCATAATATTTATATACACAAATTAAAAACTTGTAGGCTCATACATTATTCCTTCTTTATCCATTTGCTGATATTCGAAACTTGTTTTGGATCTTCTCCTTGCTTTTCATGCTTCTATAGTGCTTTGCTCGTGCACTGCTCTCTTCTTAGCAGTATTTACACATTTCAGATCACTGTGAAGTTAACATTTTAATTGCATTTATACCCAGATGGGTATCCATTTGCCTCATGACAGATAGCCTACCTTTTTTACAAATGTTAAATAAAATTTTTCCTTCATATACAGCAGTTTCTGCAATTCGTTTCCCAGATCCGGAAGTCCTTAGACATATCTGCCATATGAGGGAATTAAAAAATTCATTCGGATTATGGATAAAGCTACCAAGGCATTGTATCAAAAGATCTGGACTTGATAAAGCTTAAAAACTGGTTTTATCACATTCATGAACGAAGATGCCAAAGTCGCTTTATGACGAAATTTACCTACCGAGCCATTTGAAACTGCCTATTGATATTTGCACCACGATTCTGCCTCAGCAGGACAAAATGTATGTAACGGCTCAACATCTAATGACCTCGTGCGAAAATAAACCACTCAAATACTCTTAAGCATTTCATCAACTGACCAAGTATTTGAGCGAACTGCATTTCCACAATACTGAAGTGAGTTTACTTTATCACGGTGTCTGTCAGTCGCCAGTTTGCTTCATAAAAGTTTTACCGTCCTCCAGCTTTTTAGATACATAGTTTTGTTTTAGCTTTCTCAGTCGAGTTCCCATTCTCTTTTGTAAGTGCCAAACACATTCATGTTTTGAAAGAGTTTCGTCACCATATGGTTTGCTAACACGTGAAAGTTTTAGAATCACCGTCACCAATGAGATTAATATATGTGGCGCCACTTTCAGCTTCTGATCTGTGAAAAATTTTTAACATAACACCGACTTCCATTTTTCAGGAAGAACCGACATGATGTTTTTGACAATTTAGCAAATAATTAACACACAATAACACGCCGAACAAATACTAATTCAGAAGTCAAACAACAAAAATCAGCGTTATATTTTCGTATTTTCACAGGACTAGTTTCGATGGTTTTACCGAACCACCATCGTCAGCTGCAAAAGCGCAAATGAACGAGATAGGCTATAATGATCAGATAAGATAAGAAAGCCTGGACAGATAATAAGACAGTGGCGCCATCTGTTGATGAAACCTATCCTATCTCGTTCATTTGCCCTTTTGCAGCTGACGATGGTGGTTCGGTAAAACCATCGAAACTAGTCCTGTGAAAATTTGAAAATACAACGCTGATTTTTGTTGTTTGACTTCTGAATTAGAATTTGGCAAATGCTTCATTTGCCACTCTTCAAAAGCTTTTCCAGATTTTTTTTCCTTTGCATGCGCAAAAATGTATAAAAAAACGTAGGTTTGATATATTGAACTAGATGAGCAGGTTTACAAAGAGGAATGCTCAAAACGGTTTCGCAAATGATTCTTTGATTATAAATCTACAATTTCCTCGTCAGGCTAATGTACCATTACCTATACATATAGAATGATCCCTCAGAGGTTGACTAAAATCTCAAAAATACTTCAAAGGTTTCTTTTACGTCGGGGGGGGGGAAGAGAAAAGAAAACACTTGTCTAAATCATTTTTTCCAAGCAAAATATTTCAGACATGCTGGAAACCAGTTACTCTTCAGAATGCTTCATTAAAGGGTTTGCATTACGCACATTTTAAAATGATTTTTATCAATAAATGCAGTTACTTTTTTAATGCAGGAAACAATTGAGGTAACTTACTCTTCGATCAAACCTTTCAGTACGAGATTAGGTCCTGTCCCAGTTAATGTACCCGTTCCTCCTATATTGGCCGCATAGCAGACACTCAACAGAAGTGCCACTTTAATAACGGAAGGACGAGAATCTGAAGTTTCGATCCTAAGGAAAGAGAAAATTGTATAAAAGCTAACAGAAATGTATTATTTTCAGTAGTTATAATAACTGAAATGTATATTTTATAGTATAAGAGAAATTTCCGTGTATGATACATGAAATTTTTAGAGTGTATATTTATCATTTATCTTATTTCTCTGTCCCTTTATCTGCCAATCTATCTATATCTATGTATTGGGTCATATAAAAAGTCTTTTTATAGTCTTTTTTTTTTTTTTTTTTTTTTTTTTTTGCCACTAGATGGTGTTGATGGCTTTATATTCGGCAACACTCACCCGATTGTTTCAAACAAACATGTGCTTAAAAGGTGACATTCAACTTCCATTACTTATGAAGATATTTTTCTAATTCTTTGCTCATGTAAAGCGTTATATTGATTTGAAAATGAATGAAACATCTCTACAAAGACAAACGATACTCAAGTTCTTCCCACACACGGTTAAGGACATCTGGTGTAACAGACTGAACAACGTCTGTGATTCTCTGTTTTAAATGATTAATGTCGTTGATACGTTCACTGTACACACGTTGCTTCACAAAACCCCACAAGTAAAAATCCAAGGGCATCAGATCCAAGGATCGTGGTGGCCATGGCTCGACAGAACCCCTGACTATCCACCGATGGGGAAATGTTGTGTCCAGAGAAACTCGCGAACAATGTTGGCATAGTGTGGAGGAGCGCCATCATGTTGAGAGATGACACCTTCTTGAAATTGTGGCACTGCATACAATTCCAACATGTCAAGGTAATTGTCTGCCGTCCCAGTTTGGTCCTTTCACTTTATCATGCATCATGCCAGACCACACGTTCACTTTAGAGCTGTTACGTTCATACTCTACGAGGATTTTCAGCAGCCCATATTCGAACGTTATGACGATGAACATGTCCACTAATATGCAAGTCGCCTCATCGCTAAACACAATCTTCTGCAAAAATCAGTTGTCATTGTTGATCTCATAAAGCATATCTGTAGCAAACGTGAATCGTTTGGATCTATCTATCGGCTTGACAGCGTGCAGTTTGTAACCCTCCGTTCAACGTAGACTTTTTCTTTAACTCCTTATGAACTATTGTCTTGCTTAGGTGTAATTGTTTAGAGCACACACGGACTGGTTTTTTAGAGCTTCTTTGGTAACTCTCCTGTATAGTCTTTACAGACTCGTCACTGACCAGTGGCCTGCCAGAACGGGGTTTGTCCAACAAACTGCTGGTATCCTTCAACTACTTATCCCCCCGATTTATGTTATTCCTATGTGATGGCGGTTCGTTGTACACGCGACGATATTCACGTTGCACTTTGGTCACGGATTGGAATTTGGCAAGCCACAAAACACACTGAACTTTCCTCTGTATGGTCCACATTTCGACTGGCGTGGGCGGGCTGATCTGCTGCTTCGCAGTTCGCGGTGTTTCGTCATCACCTGTGTGCGCACATACGTCATACTACGGAAACTTGGAGAGTTTTCCTTTTGTTTGGTGAAGATTTTACATTTCTATCTTGTTTTGTTGCTTTCCTGTGACCGAACAAATGTTCACTATGACTTTACGGACGCACTGTATTAAACAACATTATTTTTACCTTTTCGTGTGTATATCATCACTTAAATGCCCCTGTCATAAAAGTACAAACAAACTTACTCTGTGGTTGAAATTTTCACAGAATTCTTGTCCTCTTCACGGTCGTCCACTTGCTTACTTTCCGTTAAAGATTCATCTGTGAAAATGGAAATTATGAATTAACCCTAACATGCCTGAATTGTTTATTTTTAAAGTCAAAAATACATGAGAATTGATATCAAATAAAATAGGAAAAAATAAAAATAAAAAAAAAAAAAAAAGAAAGTTTAAACTAAGTTTTTATTCCAATTTTTGAAAACATATTATTAACTATTAAAAAATAGGATAGGCAAATGTGTAATAACAATTTTATATAATAATACATACCCTATAAACTTGTTCAAACAATTTTAAAACTTTGAATGCATCAAAATAACAACGAACACAAAATTGAAAATTCCTAAACACAAAGGATGTCCACACTCTACGTATCAACTCGCAATAATGACCATTACACCGTTAGTGCTGCCACCACACTGAAACTTACAAAACTGTATACGTAACAGTAACAGACGTAAATAGTATGAATTCAATTGGTTACACAATGCAATAAACTAAAATTTGAGTTTTGACTTGATTTACCTGACTAAATAAGGATTGGATTGGTTTATTCAATTATGTCAAAGCACACGAGGGCTATATGCCTAAAGGGAGGGATGTCTTCGTGGAGGACTTTCTAAGGGAAACTGGCTCGTATACACGTTACACATGGGGAAAACCACGAAAACGCCCATGCAGCCAGCCCGTTCGCGGGGTTCGAACCTCAGACCGAACTACCAGTGTTCAGCGTCTTTACCGCTCGGCCGCTGGTGGGCTCGACTAAATATGAGTATATCGCCAAATGGCAACTATGTACATTTGAGGGATAACAACTGAAGTGGTTTCATGGAAATGTTGTTGTCATTTCAATTCTGCAAACTTTTTCATGAAGGCTCAATAACTCCCGGTGCGCCCTTGTGGGACCCCAGGGAGTTCTTGTATCTATATAGGGGAGGGCGTGGGACATATGCCTGTATACCTCCGTTAAACACCAGGCGTCCCCGTCCTCCGTCACCTGTCACCTGTCATTTCAATTCACACACAGTGTAGGTGACTATAATGTATCTGCGATTTGTATCATGTATTATGTAAGATCTGTATTATGTTTAACAATCTGCATTATGTACTGAGCATAATCTATGTCAATCACTATCTGCATATCAAATTAAGCGTAATATCTCCATAACAATCAGTATTGTGTATGGTATATTAATCAGTATTAAATAATGCTAAGTATTGTGTACCAGTATTGTTCTACTCACAGCGCACTATGTATCCTGTATGTATGTAGTTTATTTGTATTGCGCATTATGCACCTCCATAAGATATGTATCATGTATAGTATATTAATTTGTTTTGAGTAATCCCACGAATCATGTAACAGTATTGTCCTACGCACAAAGTACTATGTATTCTGTATGTATGTTGTTTATCTGTATTATCTGCATTATGTACTTGCAATCTGTATTATGTACACCATGTACTCTGCATGTATTTAATTTTCTCTTTTGTACTATGCATTTCGCATAAACTATGTACTTGCATACTGCACAACCTTTAACATAAGTAACCCGTACTATATGCATATCAATTTCTTACATATCACTTAAACGCATTCCGTTATTGCATTATGCACAGCGCATTATGTATATTGAATTTTTAATGGTCTTTGTTTATATGTGATAATATGTTTTTTCCCCTCTGTGTTTATTTATTTATTTTTGTGTGTGTGAGTAATTTGTGCATTATCAGTTCCATGTCATATTTTTAATTAATTTTAATCTGTTTTATGTAACTGCTGTTTGTAATTTTTATGTATAACATATGTACTACGTTCCCACACAATGTCTTACATCAGTTATAGCCCCTGTATGGCCATGTAACATATTTATATAAGATCCAAATGAACTCCCAGTGTAGCTCCTGGGGCTCCACGGAGTTGTTGTTTCTAGATAGTGGAGGGCGCGGGACATACTCCTGTTTACCTATGTTAAACACCAGGCGTCCCCGTCCTCCGTAACCTGTAACCTGTCATTTCAATTGAATGGACGCTTGAAACTAAATAACTTCGTCAGTAATGACCAATACCCATTGATCATTTAGCCTGATCATTATCATCAAGTTTTACCAAATGCCGACGATCAAGTTGTCCCGCCGTAATGAAAACGTCCCGTCTCATTTCTGATGATGACCACCCTGGGATACGGATCCAAGGGACTTCTTCCCCTTTTCTTTGCCACCAAACTACTTGAGAGCACTGTCGGCCCTCCAGCACTTTAAATGCCCCAGTACAGCGCAGATACTACCCACACGAACAAATATCCACGCCATTTCCTTCATTCGAATCCGGGATCGTCGGTACGGCAGCCAGCATCACTAACCACTTTACCAATAAAGCAGCTCCCTTTATAACCTAGTATTATTAATTAAAATGCTTATACTATTATAGCTTACTACACTTTAATCAAGCTTATATCATAACCTGAAAGCTTTGCATCAAAGAACATTTTGCAAACATTTTCCGAATTAAAGATCTAAGATAATGTTTTCTTCCGAAGCCAGTAAACAAATAAATTAGGCTCAAGTACTTAAGTTCCCAACGCTAATGTCACTTATGTACTGAAGTGAGAGAAACGAAGACACAAAGAAAGTAAGAAAGAAGTTTTTCCCCCCTGTGCAGGGATAACAATCAATGACGTCATATAAGAGCAAATTTTGTAGCACTATATCTCCCTTCTGCTTAAAAATAATTTTAAAAAATTGAAAGCTTTTTACATTACTCAAAAGGGCGTTTTTTTAAGGAGAGGTTTTTACATTTTAATTATTCAAAAAATTGTGATTTCGGATTTTTGCATTTTCAAATTCTCTACACTTTTATCTTTCTAAAAATACCATTCTTTAATCTCTATGAAAATTAGAACTGTAAAAAAATCTAGTTTTAATTTGTCATTTACTGCTTTGGATTTTCACATAAAAACGCGTTTTTCTCCAAACGTGATTTTTTTTATACTCGATGTACCTTTTCTCAGGAACTACTGCTCACAGGTATCTAAATTTTTTATGGCTTATTTATTAGGTTCCCTAATATTTAGTGAAATGAGCTTTTCTTAATAAACTTAGAAAAAAAAAAGATTTTTTAATTTTTTTTTGTGTGAGAAAAGTGCTAAATTTTACTATGCCTAACAGAATATTATGTAATTTACTCTAAAATTCAAATTGCTTCAAAAGCTCATTTTAGTATAATCAGATAGGTATACTTTTATTACAGAAAAAAATTCAAGCTTGTATCTACAGCAGATTTTGAGAAAAGGTACATCGAAAATGGCCAATTTAACATTGTCGGTGTAGGGGTTTCTCATACCCCTTAACGTTTTGAGTGTTACCTTTATTTATTAAATATCATGTTCTTCGCTCTTAAACCATAAAATTCAATTCAACAGAATGTCGCAAAACATTTAAAAAACATATCTTTAGAATTTCTGATACACAGTCTCGCGCGCTGGAGATAAAGATGCTTTTTTTTTCTTTTCCGTACAATGTTGCCTTTGCTCGTTTTGAAATTGCTGAGTTTCTTAATCAAAAATTAGTTCAATTATATGAAAAAGATAATAAACCCAATTCCAAATGCCAAATTTGGTTCTCCAGATGCCCATATTCGAGTAGGGGACTACGTTATTCAAAATTTTATGTTTCTATGTGCCGTTTTCTCGCAGTGTGAGGAACATACATGCAGATTAATTGCTTTCATTTCTTTAAATATAACGCAGGTTTCTAATATTTGGTGGCAACAATTTCAAAAGTGAACCAACGCAAAATGCCAAAATGAAATTAATATCCCTTCTGGGAAAATTGCCCCTGAGGGCTTAAAACAAATGTTAAATTCCTGAAAGTCTTTTCCTGTAAACAAATCTAGCCGTAACTTCTTCCAGGCCGAATTCATGATCCTGTAAGTCACTTGATTGCAGTCTTTATAAATGAGAAAGTCCTCCACGAAGGCATCTCTCCCTTAAGGCAGAGAGCCCTCGAGTGCTTTGCTGTAACCTACTAAACCAAACCAAACTTATAAATGAGAGTTATATGGAACCAGAAATATTAAAACGGTGTTTCAGAAAGTGCTTGAATGTTTATTCTTTTACGCAGGTTATCTCAAAGCATCTTTGAAACCATTCGTTGTTCGAATTTGAATGTTCGTATTTCTAAACACCGTTCCCCATCAGAGGAATTTTATTATAATTTGTTAGAGAACCAAATTTTCCGTGATGAGAGGTGTTCGTGATTCAATTCTAATTTCGTTATTACAACAACAAAAATGTTAAGGTTACTTAATTTTAACGCTTCGTGGCAGAAATTTGTGCAGTGAAGCTCACGTATAACGCAGATACAGTAAGACCCCGCTTCCATCAAAGTAGAGCGTAATGCGAAACAGCGCTAAACGAGGCTATCTTTACATGTAAATATTGGGGTTAGGGGAAGATGCCTAGGAAATTGGTTAGCTATTAAATTTAAAAAGTATGTTTTTTTAATAAAAATAAAACCAAACATTTATTTCTTAAAGCCCAAATTAATACCACATTATTATTTCTTGCAAAAATAAAAACAAAATATAAATAACAAAACGAATATTCTTAAAAAAAAAAAAAAAAAAGCAAATAAAATTCTAAGTCAGTCATATTTAGTTAGCCTTCCGCGTTTTCAGTGTTCTGCCTTTTTGTGACAAAAGCATCTAATGTCGTTTGCCTTTTTCTTTTGCGTTGTTCTCTTAAAAGTTCTTCATAAACGGATAGAGCATCTCTAACACCACGCCTTACTTTTGAGCTCCTGTCAAAATTCGGATCATTTTCAATGAATTGATCCATTATTTCAGTTACGGTAGACAACCTCCTTTTTACCAACGCCATCGAAAGTTCTTTTTGCTCTTCTTCTGAATCACTGCTGTCAACATTTTCGTTTTCTTCTTGTTCAGTTAATTCCTTGAGCTCATCATTAGAAAGACTAGCCGCTGCTTCTTGAATTATTTCTTCGACATCTTCCACGTTTACCCCTTCAAAATATGTCTGC